ACAACAGTAAAATCATTTCAAAACTATCGGTTTTCTCCTTGATGACCTTATTCTGTTTCATCATATTAGCATAAAGGTCTGGCACACGTGTGGAAATACAATCCGCGGTTACTGCGTACAGAGAGGCAGTCCGCGCCCTCTTCACCCCTCAATGGTGTCGGAGGTGCTTAAGACGAGGGAAAGTCCTGTCGACTCTTAGTGTTAGAGTTTTATGAGCAGTCGCTATGAAAGTAAAAAAAAGGTTACAAGTCAGAAGGAACTCATTGTTATTCAGCCCGTTGTTATCAGCCCTACGTAGAGACTCCAAGATACCCACCTTCCAGCAGCACTGGACAAGGCTCCAGGATAACCACCTTCCAGCAGCACTGGACAAGGCTCCAGGATAACCACCTTCCAGCAGCACTGGACAAGGCTCCAGGATACCCACCTTCCAGCAGCACTGGACAAGGCTCCAGGATAACCACCTTCCAGCAGCACTGAACAAGGCTCCAGGATAACCACCTTCCAGCAGCACTGAACAAGGCTCCAGGATACCACCTTCCAGCAGCACTGGACAAGGCTCCAGGATAACCACCTTCCAGCAGCACTGGACAAGGCTCCAGGATAACCACCTTCCAGCAGCACTGGACAAGGCTCCAGGATAACCACCTTCCAGCAGCACTGGACAAGGCTCCAGGATAACCACCTTCCAGCAGCACTGGACAAGGCTCCAGGATAACCACCTTCCAGCAGCACTGGACAAGGCTCCAGGATAACCACCTTCCAGCAGCACTGAACAAGGCTCCAGGATAACCACCTTCCAGCAGCACTGAACAAGGCTCCAGGATAACCACCTTCCAGCAGCACTGAACAAGGCTCCAGGATAACCACCTTCCAGCAGCACTGAACAAGGCTCCAGGATAACCACCTTTACCATTATCTGTGTATCTGTCCTCACCCGTTCTCAGTTTCATCACCTGTTCTATCACTGTTGTTTTCCGCCTGATGTGATTTTGATGCAGTTTTGGTTCGGCCTTGGGTTTATTTGCTATGTCATTTTCATACTGTCTCTCTGCTTGTCTTCTCACACTGAGGTACTCATACCTGGTTCTCTGGTATCCTCTCTTTAATCACTGGTTTTTCGTTATTTCGGTACTTCCTCCACGCCCTTTTGTTTAGTTCGAATTACTTCCATACATACCCTTTTAAACCACGGATTCCTCTTTTTCTTCTTATTTTTTTCCGTTTGGGTCGGGATAATGTTGTTTACTGTCTCCCGACACTTTCGGGTGGTAGTCCATCATGTCTTATACGGACTTTGTTCTGGGTTCTGTGCCACATGTTATTTCTCTTATGAATTTTCTCATCTACCAATAATTCCCATTTTGGTACACCGGTCCTTTGCTTTCTTTTTTCTTTTTTTTTGGGGGGGGGGGGGTATTACTTCTTACTCCACCAGGTACTCAAATATCAGTACACTGGTCACTCACTCCCAAGGGGAGCTTTCAACCTAACTTTCTTTATATCAGACTCATTCAGGGTGAATATCAGATCAAACATGACTGGTTCGTCTTCTCTCAGTCTTGTGGGTCCCTTGACTTGTTGTCTCAGAAAGTTTCTTGTTGCCATTTCCAGCAGCTTAGCTCGCCATGTGTGTGGCCCTCTATGTGGGGGTATGGTCTCCCAATCTATCTTCCTGTGACTGAAGTACTCCCATGATGAGCAGTCCGGATCTGTTCCTGCAAGCGACAGAGGCTGCTCTCTATTATACAAATGGTAGCCATGTTGTTTACCATATTTCTGTCTGACTCTTCTGTCTTTTGGTGGGGCTATATATTACTATTATTTTTTGTCCTTCAATTGCTATAGTGCCTGTTATGTAGTCACTGAACCCTTTGTGGGTGTATGGGGGAGGAGAGGTTGTGTGGTGGGTGTGTGTGTGTGTGTGTGTGTAGAGGGGTGGGAGAAGATGAATGGGGGTGTAAGGTGTGGAGGGGAGAAAGTGTGTGTGTGTGTGGGGGGGGGGAAGGAGAGGATGTGTGAGGGTAGAGGGGGGGGCCAATAGACCATGAGGGCACTAATACACACCACAAGCGTGGCACAGTGCCGGCCAGACCAAGGAAGGGTTCAGCATAACTGAACACGCCGCCAGTAACGTGTCTCCGTTCATCTTGTTCATTATGCTCAAACCAATACAAAACTCACAGCCCCGGCATGAATTATGTATTACATGGAATATTAACGAGAAGAATGTTTTTAAATAAATAAAACTTGCCAGTTGACTGATGACTTTATCCTGGTCAACAAAATGCAGTATGTGATGGATTGAAGAATAAATCTAACTGACCAATCGCCCGGTATTTAATGCAAGTCTCTAGGAGATGTGTTTATGAAGACACACCATGATTGGTATGCAGGAGGGCTGGCACCGCTCGCCCGAGCTGGTCTTCAGGAACAACACAGCTACGAGGTCAACTTGAACACCGCGCACACCGCATTAGAACACCGCGCGCGACCTCCCTCCAACAGATCATATACAGGCGCGACCTCCCTCCAGCAGATCATATACAGGCGCGACCTCCCTCCAACAGATCATATACAGGCGCGACCTCCCTCCAGCAGATCATATACAGGCGCGACCTCCCACCAGCAGATCATATACAGGCGCGACCTCCCACCAGCAGATCATATACAGGCGCGACCTCCCTCCAACAGATCATATACAGGCGCGACCTCCCACCAGCAGATCATATACAGGCGCGACCTCCCTCCAACAGATCATATACAGGTGCGACCTCCCTCCAACAGATCATATACAGGCGCGACCTCCCTCCAACAGATCATATACAGGCGCGACCTCCCTCCAACAGATCATATACAGGCGCGACCTCCCACCAGCAGATCATATACAGGCGCGACCTCCGGCACACTGTAACTTTGCCACTCCGACCCTCCGTTTCACATCAACCTTTCCTCCTACAAAGAACATCGCATTTCGCTCGTGTGCGTTACCTATGGCAAAAAATTGTCGTACTAGAAAATGGCGGCGTCTCGCGAAATTGTCACCGACCCGTTTTCTGTTTTGGGTCATCTGGTAGGATAGAATAAGGGCATTGTAGCACGACTGTTTCTTAACGTTGGGAAATGTTAAGAGGACGGGCTGTTCTGTGATAACTAAACAATGAAGTATACTCCACTGGTTAAGGGAGTACCTAAGCAACAGGACACAGCGAGTCACCGTGAGGGGTGAGGTCTCGTAGTGGCGGGATGTCACCAGTGGAGTCCCACAGGGATCAGTTCTTGGACCTATACTGTTTCTGATATACGTAAATGATCTCCCAGAAGGAATTCACTCGTTCCTCTCGATGTTTGCTGATGATGCAAAAATTATGAGGAGGATCAAGACAGAGGAGGATAGTATGAGACTACAAGATGACCTAGACAAACTGAAGGAATGGTCCGACAAATGGCTACTAAAGTTCAACCCAAGTGAATGTAAGGTAATGAAACTAGGAGGCCAGTCAGTGGGTACCGAATGGGAGATGAAGTCCTTCACGAAACTGACAGAGAGAAAGATCTGGGAGTTAATATCACACCAAACCTGTCTCCTGAAGCCCATATCAAAAGAATAACATCAGCGGCCTATGCGAGGCTGGCTAACATCAGAACTGCTTTAAAAAACCTGTGTAAGGAATCCTTCAGAACCTTGTATACACATATGTAAGACCAATCCTGGAGTATGCAGCACCAGCATGGAAGCTAAATGAATTTAGCCAAGATTCCGTCCCTGAGCCCATTATGTGCCTTTGTGACCCCTTCTACTAACCCCCACAGGATGGGCATGGGGTGCATAATAAAAAAAAATGAAGCCATATGACTGTCTACCATAAGATTTAGCTGGACTAACCCAGAGAGCTTTGGGGTATACTATTCACCCGGGCACAGTGAGGGATCCAGTGCTGCCATGCCCACGTTAGGGCGCGTACTCTCAAGATTCTCTCTCACACACTGACAGTTGAGAGGCGGGACCAAAGAGCCAAAGCTCAACCCCGGCAAGCACAACTAGGCGAGTACAACTAGATGAGTACACACAAATATTAATTTATTTCTTATCATTCTCGGCCAAAATATACAGGCGTTTAGCCATTCTCCGAGCGTTAATACTTTTGAGGTTGCTTAGCAAGAGCGAGTTCTCAAGCATTAAGTGCACATATACCGTCTGTCTTCAAGTCCGTCTACCAGGTGCACACACTGTCAACCACGCCCCCATAAAACAAGATAATTGCCATAGTTCAGCTGCTATGAACGTAAACTATCAGCGTACTAACATTACAAGAAAATTATCGTACACTAATTCGTTAATGTGAGAATGATTAAAGGGCGTAAACAATAAATTTAAAATATAAATGCAGTTAATTATAATTAATAACCTCTTCTAATACTATACAGTAATTTTATGGATGACAAATCTATAATTAACTTAATTAAAGTCGTGATGCACATTTTCTAAATTGTTATCGGGGTTTGAATTTCCCGCGTGCGCCAAATTTGTCTGAAGCGGTCCGCACCAGCTGACGGGTCATGTGTTTACAAATACGGATTTGTCTAGAACTCACAAACAAAAAATTATTTCCATTTCATTTAGGATGATTAATGGGTAATGCTTTAAAATATAAATCCCTATATTTCACACATTCCAAAGGTATAATAAATTAGTATTCATTATATTCCTATTAAAGCTTAGATAAACTTTATTATGCTTAAAGCTTATCTGTATTTCAGGTTACAGCTTGACTCTGCTTACGACCTCGTATGTGAGAATGTCTCCACACATACACTATGACTGAGGAATACATCATGCGACAAACAAGCCATACGATATAACATGCTATACACTGGTTCATACATGGCTTATGACACACGATGTTATGTCATACACTTGTTATGACACACGTGTCATACATGATATGCAACACAACTCCCAGTGACACAACTACAAGCAGCAATATTTTCGCTCTTACCGGATGGAGTCCGCTAGGCTGCTGCCAGTCCTCGAGTCCGTCACAGTGCGTCCAGAGGTGTGGCCAGGTCCAGTCATCACCCTGGAGTCCTAACTACCTTGTTGAACGCTGCCACGACAGTCACGTCACCTGTGGATTTTTGTTTTGTTTTAAGTCACCTTTGTCGTCCAGAAGAGGATTTTTTTACACTTATTATTAAGCTATAAACTAAATTTTTTGTTCACATACGACTTCTCATTTTTATGATAATTATAAAATAGAAATTTAAAAACAATAAAGTCTCTTGGTCTCTAAAATACTCTCATGTTAATTGTGGAGTTGAGGATAATTGATTTATTAAAATTTGAGCAAGTGGACTGAATATATAATTATTTTGCTCTACATATTTCCCCATAGTGGGGGATTTGTTTGTTATCAATAAAACTAGGATAAAACAAGATTTGTAACAAAGTTAAATTTAAAATATATGTTAATGTGGACTTAATTAAATTATTTAATTTCCCTGCATTATCTAAATTGGGGTTAGCAAATACTAGAAGTCTTAGGTGCTACGATGACTTCTTGAAACCAACCCGTGCTCGACTAAAAGTCCATTCCATCCAGCGGTCGACCACACAAACTTATTCATAAATTTTTACATGCTGTTCATTCAAAACGGAAATTTTCTCAAATATAAATTAATATTATAATATATATTAGCATATTGTGCATATATATATAGGCATAAGTCAGGTTAGGTGTTAGGTTCTGTTGGCGATTATTTGTATTTGTAGTACGTGGGTGAAGCATTTACAGCGTTGTGGTTCGAACAAAATTCGTCAGTGAAGCACTTGTTCCGAAAATGTTCGAACGTCATCAGTTGTGAGTCGTGTGTAAACCGTTTTTCATTCATAACTAGCTGGGGTTTTGGCGGGTGGATGGAATCACTTTTGGGTCCTTGTTTGGAAGACTGGCTAACACGTTCGTAAGTACTTGCGTAACTTCTTCGTGAATCTGGCTCCAGGAACTTGAGCCTCACCACCGCTGAACACATCAACCCTCACCAACTGTACTGCTTCTAGTCAACACCACCTTCCTCTCCATAATATAATTAACTTTGAAAAAACATGTATTCTAACTACTAACTTGAGTATACACAAGTAAGTAAGAATGTGTTAACTGGTTGGTGTCTTACTTGTATTAGTGACGCCTCTAACCCGTCCATCAACTCCTCTCTCTACTGCCACTATACTCCGGCCAGACAGTAGAGAAACAGGTAGAAGCACACTACTGGCATACTCCAGGGTAAGCATGGGCCGCAACATGTTGCACAACATGCACGTCTAAACGGCCATTAACAACTAGGTGAGGCGTAATCGCCCAATTTGCTCGGTGCTCGTCACGGCGTGTATGAGCCGTCTCCTGGTAATGGCGTCTCTGCCTCCCCCACACACATACGCTCCCTCCTGTGAGAATCAATAGTTATTAATTTGTGAGTTGGGTCTTTAAATTCGAATTGTTACAGAATTGGAATTCAATATATTAATTTGATATATATATATATATATAATTTATTGGATTTAATCTTGGCACCTCAGTTCATTAGCGAGATATAAGAGAACAGTTTCAGTTGCTCAATAGTCAGGTGTTGACGCGGTCGACCCCACGAGCATTGCGTCAACACTTCATATTATCTATTATATGAAATAATAATTATAACAGAGTACAAGTTTTCATAAAATTCAGTTTAATAATTAACATTTAATAACTGATCTTATAAATTTAAAAAGGGCGAATCCTCATAGAGTTTATTTTTTAGGTTTAAAATTTCTATTTAATATAATATTTAGCAAATTATTTCCAAAATAAATTAAAACAAATTAGAATTTGGACACAATAATATTAACATAAGCCTAATGTGAAATGTCACGTGTTCAAAGACATTCACTCAGCCTTTGAAAGATAAGATTGACCTGTCAATCTATCAATCCTGGGACTATGTCAAGACTGTTATGTTTACAACAATAACAGTCCCCCACATGCTGTGTCACCCACAGTGGGGACACCCAGGCTTTCAACACCTTTTTCAATAAATCAACTATTTGTGTAATAAGTCAGTAGTAATAATACGTAATAAATCAATAATAATATATTTTAATAATTTAAAATAATATTACAATTGTCGGTCTCGAACCCATAGTTGATATAATAATATATTCATTAAACTATGTAACTAGTTTATGAAGACCATATTGTTGCTCGGCTAAATTAATTTTTGGGTTCAGTTCCTGAGCTCATTTGTGTGTCTGACCTTCCCACTACCGCCCACAGTATGGGGTGCATAATAAATTAACAGAATAAACATTACCTGCGCCAAGTTTGTAATTTATGGCCTCTAACGTGAGCGCCTTAACCCTGGCTAAGGCTACCAGCCGCTCTCAAAAATGTAAATGTGATGACCGAACTTTTCAAAATTTTCAGTTTGTTTTCTCAAACGAGTTATGTGTTAGACGTTTGAAGATGTTGTAGCGAGGTCAGAACTTCCAACGTCGAGCTGGACGTATAATGACGGTCAGGGACAGGTGCAGCAGGTGGGTCGAGGTCAGGGGTCAAGCGTGGGGTGTCCAGCCGTAAAAATGTGGTTTTAGTGTCTGGTTAAGGCCCCGGGCGGCCTTGACCCCGCCTCCTGCCTCCCGTGGCAGTCATTCCTCAACCGCTTTGTGGCCTCCTTATTGTTATTAATGTTGGTATTATTTTCCACGTTTCTGAGGCTTTCTGCCCAATTGTTCCTCCTGGAAGCACCTCCAGCCTCTCTGAGGACCCCAGGCCAGCTGCTCCTCCTGGAGGTTCTTCCCAAGTTTGAGGCTTCCAGACCAGCGTCTCATACTTGAAGTTTGTTCTACAGTTCTGAGGCTCCCAGGGCAGCTGTTCATCCTGGGAGTCCTTCCTACGTGTCTTGAGCGTCTTATTAACAATAAGTCAAAGACTGTTCGCTACAAGTCACTGGTGAAGCTCCTTACATAAAGTTGAGTCGTTAGCTAAAAATGAAGGTTTTTGACGCTGTCAAGAATTTGTAAATATCATTTATGACCAATAGGAAGACACAAGGTCTTAGAATTTACCTCTGAGGAATTCCAGTGTTATATATTAAAGGTTTTGGGTCTTCTTGAAGGATGCCGGTAAGGCAGGGTAATTGTCACGTGAAGGAAATCTTTACTTGAGAAAACTTATAGCAAAACCTATTGTAAGTGGATAGTAATGTGTGGAAAATTACCAGAGTTGGAAATTCAAGAGATGTGAGTAGAGACGTGAACTAGGCCACCACCAGCAGCCTGAGGCCTATACCCTCTGGACGGTAACTAGGCCACCACCAGCCTAGCCTCTGGACTAGGCGCCTCCCACACCGGTAGTCAAGACTGACCAAGAGCTGGACACCTCCTCCACGTACCAGAGTTACTTGTTTAGTGATCTCGTCAACGTCATCCCAGAGGTGGTCAGGCGAGACACGAGGGGAACAGGAATCACTTTCTGGAAGTTAGTTTCGCCTCCTTGGTATTTAACAATTATCAACGCTAACTTCTTTTGTATTACACTAAAACAAAGAATGAAAAATGTTATTATGATTTCCAACCAGATGCGCTCCTATCCTTAAATAGTCGTGTGTACTTGTGGCATCTTCATCATTAATTGGAGGCCGCTGTGTAAGACACTTTCACTGCTCAAGACAATCTCCTGTGTGTCTGCTGCTGCTGCTCTGATGATTCTATTGTAGGACACAAGATTTATACACGAGGCTGATGTGTAAATTGGCACAGCACGAGTCGGGGATAATTACTGTAACTATGGTACTTTGTCTTGATGAGCCCAGCGTTGAACACCTCTACTTACACCCTGGTACTTGCTGTGTTGCTATACATTACCATGATGCAGGTGAACAACACTACACTTGCTAGGTACACAAGAGGAAGGCAGCCACATACAACAGGATGCTGGACACTAAATTATAAGATGATGTTGACACGGCTCCGATTAGAAGAGGCATCTTATACTTTCTTGACAGCAGAGGTTGCAAAATGGTATACGAAGTACAAGTTCGCTTCCATCTTGAGTACACACCTCTTCTGGAATGCCTGCCCCCCTCCTTTATTTATTAGACTTTTGAACAAAGTGTAGAACCACGAGAAAGCTCATTCTAGTCTTGACCGCCTGGTTGGACTGCTATGGTCTAACATCGCACAGTTGCGATTTTGACATAAACATCGCAACTTTTCAACAACTCACAACTGATGACGTTCGAACACTTCCGGAACAAGTGCTTCACTGACGAATTTTGTTCGAACCACAACGCTATAAATGCTTCACCCACGTACTACAAATACAAATAATCGCCAACAGAACCTAAACACCTAACCTAACCTATGCCTATATATGCACAATATGCTAATATATTATAATATTAATTTATATTTGAGAAAATTCCTGTTTTGAATGAACAACATGTAAAAATTTATGAATGCGTCTGTGGGGTCGACCGCTGGATGTAATGGAATTAATTAATTAAGAGTCGAGGACGGGTTGAATAAACAGAGGGTTTGGCGGGTGCATGGAATAGACTTTGTCCTTTGTTTATGAGGACTGGCTGCAGCATTCACAACTTTCAAGGCCAGATTTGATACAGAATTCAAACGTCAGAATAGTTAAACTATAAGGAAACTGGTACAACAAGGCTGGTAAGTGGGCTACACCTAACTTCCTTGTAGTCACTAATAGGTAGGTACCATTCTTATTAATCCCTAGTTCCTTAGTCTTAGTTTAAAAGGTGAGAGAGAGAGAGAGAGAGAGAGAGAGAGAGAGAGAGAGAGAGAGAGAGAGAGAGAGAGAGAGAGAGAGAGAGAGAGAGAGAGAGAGAGAGAATAATGGGTAGAGTGGTCATGACTCACCATCCCTGGAGATGACATGATTGTCACAATAGTATTCATGATAGAAGATCTGACAGTTGTCGCCTCACCGTAGGCGATCACAGTCATCACTCTGTAAGTTACTTGGCCAGCTGGCCCAGGTACAGCTGGCTGTACCATCTCCATGGACCACACAGGCTACAGCTGGCTCCCGTACAGCTGGCCGCAGCTCCTAAAGCTACACATCGGTATCAACTCAAAACTCACGTACAAGCAAAGAAACGTAATTTAACAATTGATTCCCTCGAAATCAACTTCTTCAATCTTCAAAGATATATTGAGGATTAGCAACTCAAACTAATGATGATCATAAAGTTAGTAGCTTAGATTACCTTTGCCCCTCACTACCAGCAAACCACCTTTGCTGGGGCTTTGAGAGTAGGTAAGGTAGTTACCAGGCGGAAGCACTAAGCCAGGATGATGATATAGCACTCAGACGGGATATGGGGGCCCAGGAGCTGGAGCATGAGGACGGAGTGAGTCCCAGATAGTTTGTCTTAATAGGTAAATAGTCGCTCATGAATAGTGAAGATTCTTAATATTACAGTTTAAAAAGAGATAATATGGTTTCAGTATCATTTTGCTAATGATTGCCTAAGTATACTCGCACAGTGACCATGGAGAGGCTTACCGTATAACCTGCTAATATAATTATGACACGCCGGTCAAGGTATAGTCATATATTTATAAATTATATTTCATCCTTGTCATTGTTCTTAAGTGTTTTTGTGTTGTTTTGCTTATCCTTGAGCCCATTACCTTATAACTCAAGTTCCATGACTTACTTATCAACCGGATTAAGGTCCGTGTATTGTATTACAGAGACTCGTGTCACAAGCCTCAGTAACTTGGAGAGAGAAGACAATCTCACATATATTCTCATTGATGTGAAGTATGTGTATTTACCTCACATGTTCAAAGATGTTTATACCAGGCTGACCAACAACATTAACCATACCAGACTGTGGTTAACATCACTAAGTATTCTCAGGGCAGTAGTCAACATCAATAAGTATATTATTTAATAAAGAAAAAAATACTCAAGACTAGACAAAATTGCAATTAATTTTACCAATAAAGATGTTAATAATCTGCAAGAGCCTCTGAACCAACCATTCATCATCTGACAAATAATATTCCACATATTAAGCAATATAATATAAAGACCGATTAACACAGAGAAAAACATTATACAAATCTTTACCCGGAAAAATATTATCGAAAAAATCGAAGCTTGTCATCAATAAATATATATTTGTTGTAGTTTTCCTCGTCATTGTACATTATAAGGAGAGATTGTGTCAGGGGCGACTCCTTCACTCTGACCAAGTGTGTGTGCTCGGGGCACCGCACACTCTACTTGGCCCTATTACCAACAGTTTCGCACTTCTCCAAACATTCTAGCAAAGACCATGCTAGGCTGTACCCAGCACGAGGCTACACACACACACACGCTGCTAGGCTGTACCCTCACGAGGCTACACACACACACACGC